AATCCGGCTGAGCCAACCCAATACAGGTGGTCAGTTTATTACAGGTAAAAAATTAAATCAGTTAAACAAAACAAAGCAGTTCTCTTTATCCTCCTTTATTCTCCGAGGCATATACCCTCAGTCTTGCTCTGCAAAGCCTGCCACATGAAAGAGTTTTTCAGCACAACAAGAAAGCACGAAGCTCCTGGGTTATTATAGTTAAATAAGCTCCAGGGCCACGGTGAGTTGTCCCTCAAAAAGGAGAGGAGGAATTCAGTCTTGAAAGACTAGTTTATAGTCACACATGTGGTAGATAGCGCCTTCCTATTTACTGAAATGGAGCTTAGATGTACAAAAATAATTACTGGGGAATAGTACAATAACAATGAGACAAATGTTATTGATAGAAGTGTTTGTGTCTGTATTTTTTAATATTTTGAAAGTGATCCAGCATTGTTATGAAAAATTTGTCCATTAGAAGGTATTTTAGTGCTGTTTTAACCATTGCAGGAAATAGGTGGCTGGAGACTGGTTTTAGTTTTGGAAGTATTTAAAGTGAAAGAGTATGGAAATAGTGGTAAGTTGGAGTAGACAGTAAGTTAAAGGCAACTTAGCAAATCCCAATAAAGCAAATACTCAGTAAAGAAAGAATAAACTGTCAGTAAGGCTTTTCTTTTCTCCTGATACAAAAAAAAGTATTTAACTTCCTCAGGTCATCATACAAGCTGTGATTTTAAGAGAAGCCAGTGCATTTATTGTTAAAGGAAACTTTCGGTGGGAAATCTGATAAAAGCTGAGAAGAATTACTCTCAAATTTTAAAGACGGGGCAAGAAAGTGATTGTATAGCAAAATCAGAGTAGAATCTGAGAATATTACATTGGAAGCATTTTACTTTTATTGTGTAGGTCAGCACCGAGGGTATTCAAGGAGAATGCTTTAGACAGTTTGTTTCTTGAATACCAGTTAGAAGTAAGATTTCAGCAGATTAGTTTCTGCAACAAAACTGATCAAGTATAAGCCATGAAGATTTGTAATCATTGACCCAGAGAGTATGGATTCACGTAAAGTGGAGTGAAGGGATCTGTAAAAAAGGTCATTAAACTGGTGACGGTCGTAGTGAGATAAATTTAGAAATAGTGAAGGAAAATAAGACTTGTGGAAAAGATAAAGAAGAATGGACTATTGTGTAATTAATCAGGGAAAATTATTGTATCATTTACAAAAACAAGAACTAATGCCAAAAATGAAAATGTTTGTGCTTTGAAATTAGTTTGTGATGATGATGCTGTAGTAGGGAGCGAGAACTGCTTTTTCTGATAGATGTTTCTACTGAAAGAATTTTCATCATGCCAAGGGTCTAGCTCTCCCATAAGTTACAGAGAGGGTTGCATTATTAAAAAGATTACTTAATACTGTAACCGTACATGGTTTCTAAATGTTCAGAGGTAAGAAGTTTGGGGAATCTAATATGTGAAGAATCCATTGATTAGAAACTATTGTACTGGACACAAGTTTTTCAATAGTGTGGGCTGGATGTAGCTTCTAGTCAGACAACTATTCATGGGCCTGACTCAACGCATTTAGTTCCTGTTCCAGTTGTAGTTATGAACTGAGGAATATTTTTGACTTTTCAACTTTCCAAACTGATTTAAGGACCATTGATTCAAATAATCGTTTGGATGGGTGTATGGAGAGTTCTATGATGATATGATATCGGCTCTTTTCACTATTTCCATTCGCTTTTGCAGTTACCAAGTTTCTTCAGTGCCGCTGCGTGAATACTGTAAGTTATAGCACTGTGTTTTTTTGATAAGACTTGGGCATTTTGACAGATCTGGAGATGTTTTTGTAAGCAATATGACCTGCCATGGCTGAACTGTATTTTAAATGTTGTAAGTCATAAATGTTTTTGTTTGTAGCTATTATGCACATTGCTATGTCATACCTGCCTATTTTTCGAGATGCAGATCTGTGCAAACATTGTAGTTGCCTAGAAATAGAAACATGCGGTAAATGATTATACCACAGAGCACTTTGTCTCCTGCTTTATTCCATTTTCCCCTGCGTAAAATATGTACATACAAAAGTATTTAATAATGTTGCAAGTTCAGACACTTAAAAGTTATAAACTGCCCAATTATAGCGAAATCTTAAACTATTTCAGGAGCTCTTAAGCTGCACCTTGCCGGGACAGTTCCTCTTGTCTGAAAAATGCCTTCTTCCCTCTGGTTCTCCATGAAAGATGCAGGCTGTGGATTGGACAGCAGATACCTGGGCTCATGTTCTCTCTCCTGGACAAAATGGTAGCAGGAAGTAGGTGGTGGCAGCTGCTGGTGGAAGAGTTAATTGGTCCTTCAGTCCTCTGGAGTACCTCTAGTAGAAGGGGGCAGCTGAAAGCCAAGTTAATCTGTTTCTCTGGCAGGGTGTGCTATTTCCTCTTGAAGATCTTCAACAAAATTGCCTTTGGTACAAGACTGGTACCCTTAAAACTTGCAGCCGATTGTCCCCCTTTAAGTAATTGCAGGCTATTAAGGAGTCAAAGGGTGTATGTGCTACACTGACTGTCGTGTTGTTTCTACAGCCCAGGGTTTTGTTGGGCTAGGCTTTTAGTATGTTATGCCTGTGGTTAGCTATAGTTGCTCTTCTATGAAGCAGCAGATCTGTTGTCCAGTCTCTGCCCCTCTGTCCCCCTCACCTCTTTGGTCCAAGAGACCAGCATAGGCCATAAAACTCTATCTAGCTGAATGAAAATTATATTTTGATTTTTCTTAACTGGTTGTATACCAGACAAGCTGTGCTGAGTACTCCTAAATGATGGTGAAAAGAGTTGTGGTTTTGTGGGTTCCTTTTTTTTCTTTTTTTTTTTGGATACAGAAGAACTGAGGCTTCAGGGATGCTTGATATGCTTCTGTTTGAATGTGTCATAAAATCAGGCATGGAATTTTTAATGCATTCTGAGCATTTTCATTTTTACTGGAAATCGAACTGGTTTCAAGCCAATTATTGCTGAAGATGCTTATTTTCCTCTTTGGTGAGCAGATCACTCATTAACAGAGAATGGCAGGGGATTTGTTCATTTTTCCCTGATGCGCAGAGAACTTTCCAGGAACATGTGAAGAGCTGGATTGGATGTGTTTCAAGAAAATACATATATTGAAAACAGACAACTTTAATTGTGTCTTCCATTCTTTGGGATAGCTAACACTTAAACACTTTGCCTGTGTGTCATATTTCTAATGTACTTACCATCATATACTCTATGGTTGCTGGGTCAGGATCAGCTACTGGAAGAATGTGTATTTCCTGCCAACTAATTTTTCAACAGAAACTACTGGGTATCAGTCAAGATTTTACTGTATAGGGAAGCTATTCTTAGGAAAAAAAATATTTTTTTTTTTTTTCATAAGAATGGAAAACAGTGGGTGTCCCAAGATGTTATCTGAGACATTCTGATAAAATTCGGGACAAAAGAGACTGAACTTGTCCTTCTTTTTCCTTCATACTGCTGCTCCCTTCATCACATAACCAAAGGTGTTCTTGAGATTTGCAACTGAATAAGAATAGTTGAAAAATGGATTTGAGTGGAAGAGCACTTTCCTTGTTTAAAAAAAAAAAAAAGTTGGCTATTTCTAATACTACAAAAAGAGCTGTTAGTGATTAGATCAGCTGAATGTCTATGATTTCAGGTATCTAGATGATACTAGAAATTTATTTGTTTTCCTCCTTACAGGCACCCAAGGACACCTAAGTAACATGAAAGAATTACGCTTGGTATAATTGTCCGTAAAAAACTGCACTGAGCTATCTGTAACTGTTGGGGAATTAATCTGCTGTTTGAAAAGGGATTACACTAATTTGAAAGAATATGCACAGAAAAGGGTTGTTTTCACTTCAATCAAATTAAATCAATCATTTTTTTTTCTTCTATGTGTAAAGCTTCGAGAATCTGGGGCCATTTTCTTGTGACTTCTTTTAAAAAGCAAGAAACTTCGAACACTGAACATTGTGATTTCTTTCAGTGTAGTGATAATGTACAATCAAGAAGCTTTTACCAGAACATAGGACAAAGTAGTTAAAACGCTACTCTCAGTGCAAACAGGCTTCACTTTGAGAACTTGCAGCCTGAAGCCTTCTTCTTGAATGTTTCAGTTAACATTATTTCAAGTGCTGGCTGTTTTTTAAGTTGTTGCCTTTTTTAGTAGTTTCTCTGTGCGAAGCAGAGGTCCGTGTTCCAGGTGCCCTGTAACCATTAATTTGCAGTAGGAGGTAGGCAGTCAATGCTATACAACATTTTGAAGTTAACTTTAACAAATATTAAACCAGCTGTAAGTTCCTAGGGAACAGTGTGACAGTAGCCCTCTAGTTGGTTTAAATATACATATCATTTGAGGTTAATCCTGTCAAGCAATAATTTTGTTGGAAGAATGACTGAAAGGGTGAGCTTGCAAAGTGAGCAAAAATTGAAATCTTCAAGGCTGCAAGATTTTAATGAAACCAAGACATATTTGTATGAGGGGTAAAAAGAGGGTAAGAGTTTTGCCCTTTTAAGCATGAAATCTGCAGAATTCTCACAGAATATTTTCATCCTCCTGAGAATATGAATACTCTAAAATCTCCAGAAAGTAGTGGTCTTCACATTGGAATCTTTGTGCAACATAAGAAATGGTCTTTTTGAGTTTCCATGAATCACAAATCATAATTTATAATAGAGATCACTGTAATAATTTTTCCTCAAGTATTTTATGTCATAATTCCCCTTTTGAAAATTAGATAAATGAGGGTGAGGGTTTCTTTCTTGATGTTGAAATACATCCTTGCTTAACAGCTTTTGTTTTGTGTTTGGATGCTTTAGTTCTTGACTGTTCAGAGATTTTCATCGCTTAGCAGAAATATACCATCTCTGAGCTGTATAAAAAGATAGTTTATTATTTAAGTTTTTTTCAGTTTCCAAGCAACAAAGTCCTATCTGAAATGTCAAAATGCTATTCTGAATAATGATTTAATGTAATAAGTCCAAATGTACTAATTTTACATCCTTTTTTCTAGTGATAAAATTAGCAATCAATAGAGTAATCATTATTTGGTCAGAATGTCCCTCATGAAGTTTAGTCCAATCTCAACTGGTTTTGTTTTTTTCACAGTATTTCCGTATTTATCAACCAGAAATTATTCTCTCCCATGAAGCAAAATTTTACTGTATTGTTATATGGGAATTTGTTTTATTGCTTCATAGTTTGTAGCATTGCTTCACTAGAAGATTAAGTATTTTGACCATTGGATTTTAGAAGTCTGGGTATGTCTCACTGGTCTTGGTTACGAGAGCTCTTGGGTTGACAAAGAGCTGTTGAAACAAGTTTATTTGGACTGTAGATGTAATTTTTTGCACTTCTTAAAATATAAGTTTACCAAAAGACTGTAACTCAAGATCTAATTACATGTCCACAAGGTACTGAAGTAGTTAGAGTACCTACTTATGTACCCAGCCACAAAGCATATGCCTGGCAGGAAATTATGGATGAAGCACATCTGAGGGAGTAGCTACAGTACAAGAGCAGTAGAGTACTGGCATCAACTTATTGATGATAAAATATACAAAGGTAATGGACAGGAATAGAAGGGCAAGGAAAAGGAAATAGGTTGTTAAGCAAAGCATGAAAAAGTCAGGCTGATGTGTGGGATTTTCAGTCTTCAGACTTAGGAGAAATAGAAGGTCCTTTTTCTTCTTAGAAGGAAAAGGACCTGCGAATCACAAGAACATTATGAGACTGTTGTGTGTCTTAACTTTCTGTATTAGGAAAGGCTGAAGGGTACTTTTCCATTCATCCTTTTTTATCTGCCCAGAGTTAAGGTGCCACTTGAAGAGTATGTGCTGCACCCTGGCAATAGTGGAGAAGCAAAACGTATGGCAGTATTAGTTTCCTTTGTCGCAAATCAGGGTAAAACCATGTTAAATATGGTTAAAAGCTAAGGAGTGGGTCATCTTAGAGCTGTTAGTGAAGAAGGGCAAAAGCAGAGTAAGCTAATGCCCCAGTCAACTTGGGGTTGGGTGGCTGAGAAATGTGGTGCTTTATGGTGGGTGGGAGCATTCATGTAGGGAAGGACTCTAGGGTGGGCGATCACCAGTGGAGTCCCAAGAGGTAACTAGGGATTGATGCTGGAAGATTGACAAGATCTCTAGACTGAGAAGCAGAAGAAGACTAGAGTAAAAATTGTCTGATCTTCCTGCCTACAAAATCCAAAATAAAGAGGAACATCAAGTGTACCAGGATAAATCATAAAGGGTGTGAGAGGAATATAAGATGCTAACAGGGGTAGAGGTGGTGATTCTGCTAAGTGTATAGCAAGTAATCTGATGCTAAAGTAGCAAAAACTATTGTTTTGGGTAAGGTGTGCTTGGGGGGAGAAAGCTGAATGCCTGGTTAGCAGTGGGAGAAGAGAGGAAAAACAGTAAACAAGCCACGATTATTGGTGTGGTCTGTGAAACAAGCTTTTGTGCAGATGAAAGACAGTAGAACAATTGTGGCTGGAACACTAAAACTGGAGATGCTCATTGGAGAAGATAGCAGAAGAAGTGGTGCAGTCACATTGTATGTTACTGATATGAAAACCTGGGGAGACGTGGGATGAAATAGCATGGATAGAACACTGTCTCTGGGCCAAGACTGTTTTGAGGTGGGTGTTTTATTGGTGCCAGCAGTGTTATGTTTAGATATGGAGAGGCTTGTCTTCAGTGCTAGTGAGGGGGAGAGATCCAGGTGGAACTAAATAGTTACTGCGCAAATGAAAGTATGCTGTTTACAGGAAGTTATTCATAACTCGTGAGTATCTTGTTCTTTGCAAAAGACACAGATTTGTGGCTTTTTGTTTGGTTTGTTTGGGGGGATTTTTTTCCCAAATGAGCTTGGATCAGGAGATCCATTGGATGAAATGGAAGGAAAAATGTTTGCGTATAGTTAAGGCTTTACATAGTAAGAGACTCTTTTTTTTAAGAAAGTAAGTAAAGTGTTTCATCTGGAATAGAGAGGTTAAGAATAGAAAGAAGGATGTTGAAGGTCTGCCCTTTATTTACTTCAGATGCAAAAGCTGCCTGAAGATTATATTCTGACAAAAGGTATAAAACTTTGGGAAGGACTTCAGACCAATTAGATGAACAACAGATTTAAAAGTGGTACTAGAAGTAGTAGGTTGAGAAATCAAATAGCATTATGTCACAAAGAAAATTACATCTCTGACAAGAACATGTAAGAGTATAATAGTATTTCCACAGATAAAGTACAGAGATAGGGTCTGGCTAAAAAAGAAAAAGCTCTAACTCTGTCAGCCATAGAAGAAAAGGACATTAAAAAGTGTGGAGAGAATCAGGAGATTGGAAGTTAAGCAGGCTCATTATCAAAGCTGATATTTTATCATCAAGACCATAGTGCTGTTACACGTGTGGAACACAGAAGCAAAGCAAGGATGTGCAATGGGAATGAATATATGGAAATGACATCCAAGGTGGAAAAAAATCCTTCACAAACTACATGTAATCAACTCATGGATAATTACTAGCTGAGTTTGATTAGTACGTAATTAGATTGAGGTTGATGAGTAAAGTGATAAAAGCTCTAATGTGATCATTTCAAATCAACATGGTACACTTATCCCCCAGACACAGGCTATTGTACTACTTAATCTCATCACAGAGATTTGAGTATGAAATGGGGAAAATGAACGGTAGTTTCTAGAGCTGTCTTTTGTTGCTTTTGTGTGGCAATAATGTAGTGTTTGCTCATGATACAAAAATTCCATCAAAACTATCTATTTTTTTTGTTGTTTCCACACTGGAAAAATGTCTCTGTAATGTGTCTTTTTGACCTAGGAACCAGTTAACCTGTGGTAGCTCAAGGCTTTGGGAAAGA